GGAGGGCTGCGTTTCTGCCTGGGTTCCGCGCCTAACAGGCTTCGGCTTGGTGCTTGGTGCAGTCATTGCATATCAACGTCCAGACAAAAAAAAAAAAGACCCTTATCATCCCACACTTGAAATTTCCGTGCAGTTGCCCTCCTCTGATCCCATCAAATCTCCCGTTAAGCTTCAGGAAAGCAGATTTTACGTGCACTTTCTCAGATCGATTCGTCATTTCTCGACGACTTTCATGAAATTGAGCCGGCTACAAATTCATTTTATTGTTCCTTGTTCAATGTCTTTAATACCTATGTACCTTTAATTTCATCTTTGCGTCATGTTAGTGGCCCTATTTGGTTCACCCCGCGCTTGATAAACCTTCGGAATATTAAATCTCGCTTGTATAAAAGGTTCAAAAGAACTGGTTCGCAATCTGACTTCAATCGCTTAGAGTAAATTTCTGTTATTTAATAAAACATGTTATAATGACTACCTGTCCAAATGTAGACTTAACTTTAAGCGTGATCCGAAGCAATTTTTTGTCGATTTGTCAATGTTTGTCAACTCGAAACGTAACTCTTCCCAATTTCCGTCATCTTTTTCTTTTAATGGCAGCAAGGCTGATAACTATTGTGTTATTGGTAATCTTTTTGCTTAATTTTTTCATCTCTGCTACTCAGTTCCCTCTAATAACCATCCCTCTATTCTGGCTTCTTCTGACATACTTTGTCCCAATCAATCTTATCCTTTCCACACGAATAGTTCTAACTGTATTGTAACGAACCATGGTTCTAGCCATGTCTCGTCACAAACGGCGGAGAGTCAGCGCATCCACGCTGGCTGGAGACAATAATCAAACTGATATCCCCAGAGCTAACGAACCATGGCTCTAGCCACGGTTCTCCACAAATAGCGGTGTGTCAGCAACTCCGGGAAATAAAATAGTCTTAAGCAACGCACACAATTAATTAAGAGCTCTCGATCAACAACTCTACTCATTCTTGTCCACAAAACAATTTAAAACACCCCACCTCTTGGAAATTTTGCAATCGACGGCCTACATAAGAAATATCTTTGCGTTATTTCACAATAAGTCAAGCCAGCATAAAATGATCGACCTACCGGCCCAAATTCAGCTATCACCTTCCGCGATGCCGAGTTAGCAAAATCAAACCTTCCGGGATGCAGCCTCAGCAAAACCACCCTGACCCACTAAAAATTGTCAACAAAGCACCAATCTTCGACCTAGTTACCACACCCTACAATTATTGTTATCCAATAACCTTAACTCAGCAAGAATTAATTATTTCAGGGTCTCAGGTGCGATCGCCAGCTTCATAAAAGGGCCAAGATCGGCCGAAAGAGGAGGCAGTCCATCAGTCCGAACACAAGACACTGCACTAGGCAGTCCATCAGCCCGAACACAAGACACTGCACTAGGCAGTCCCTGGGTCACACACCCAAGACACTGCACTAGGCAGTACATCAGACCGAAAAAAAAAGAGGCCAAGAACACAAGACACTGCACTAGGCAGTCACAAACGCACAACACCACACTACGCAGTCCACCAGCGCACCATACAACTACAAGCCAGAGTAGCAACGTAAAAGAATTAAGTGAATGAATAAATACTGAATAAACCAAGAACAACCAAAAACAAAACTCTCGCATCATCATTTCTCGCTTGCCTACTGACTTTTCAAGCCAGCCCGACACCTGAAGTCACCTACAATCTACAAATTTTCTTGTAGCGGACCCTGGACAGACTGATGCATACCTCAGCCTGAAATAGGACCTCACAGTATCTATCCCCCCTTCATCGACTATAATGACCTTTTAATTAATTATAAGTCACGTACATTTTTTTTCTACCAGCCCCGATATGGTTCCTAGTGTTCTTAAACTTTGTGAAGATTCTCTCTGTGTGCCCCTCCTTAAACTGTTTATCCTATATCTCGAGCTCGGCGATTTTCCCACCGTCTGGAAAAAGTCATATATTATTCCCATTCATAAAATGGGGTCTAAATGGGATGTTTCTAATTACCGTGGGATCTCCAATTTATCTGCCATTCCCAAATTCTTCGAAAAAAGAATTACTTCCCAGCTCCAACATTTTTGTTGTTCCTTATTCTCTGAATCGCAGCATGGATTTGTATAACGTCGGTCTATTTCGTCTAACCTCCTGGAATTCTCCACTTTCGTGCATGAGGGTTTCGCTAAGCAGTCTCAAACTGATGTAGTCTATACTGACTTTAGTAAAGCCTTTGATTCAGTAAATCATAATCTGCTTATCCATAAATTATCGCTTCTAGGGTTTCCGCCTAAACTTCTTTTCTGGATTAATGCATACCTTTGTAATCAATCTCAGCGTATCTAATTTAATAACTCTCTTTCTAAGCCTGTTTCTGTATCGTCGGGGGTACCTCAAGGTAGCCATCATGGCCCTCTGTTGTTTAATTTGTTCATCAATGATCGGCGCCAAGTCTTAACTCATTCCCGAATACTTATGTATGCAGACGATGTGAAGTTATGTTTCTCCTATAGCGACCCCATGTCCCCGTTATGTCTCCAATCTGATCTTGACGCCCTCAACAACTGGTGCTTAATAAACATTCTTACCCTTAACATTTCCAAATGTAACGTCATAACATTCCATCGCAGCAAGCCTTACCGTTTTGCCTTACAATATCCACAACTGTTCCTTAAACCGCCCTTAGAAAATTACTGACTTGGGAATTATCTTTGTACCTAATACCTGTTATAACTTACACATATCCGCTATTTCGAATAAAGCCTGAGGCGTCCTGGGCTTTATCAAAAGATGGTCTAAGGAGTTCACCGTACCACTAAACTTTTATATGTATCCCTTGTCCGGCCTATCCTTCAATACGGTTTCTGCGTTTGGTCTCCGCATTATCAAAAATATCAGGATATGATTGAGTCCGTTCAAAAACAGTTTATCCTTTTTGCACTTAGTGGCCTTAATTGGGACCCCTCTAGACATCTTCCTTCTTATGAGAGTAGGCTCCGGCTCCTCGATATCCGCTCTCTTGAAAGCTGTAGGATTTGCCATGGAGTACTTTTTTTTCACAAACTTCTTGCTGGTGAGGTTGATTCCACTGCCCTCAGTAGCCTTATTAGCATTTCTGTCCCTTTCCGCCCGACTAGGCATTACTTTCCGCTTCATCTTCAACTCTGTCTTTCTAATTACTCTGACCATGAATCTTTCTGAAGCCTTGGCCGAGCTTCTTCAGTTGCGTTGTTTGGCCAGATTATTTAAGAGACGATGATTGTTCAGTTAATATATTCACAGTTTATTGTACTTAAGTTAACATATATATGTTTTATCCAAAACTAGCGAAAGGTGTGCGGATTTGATAACGAGAGTTAACGATGGGTCGATTGAAGACGCGGGGGCCGGTTCAAGACTGTTGAAGTTGTTAGGTTTATGTAAGGTTTAGTTTAGAACTCTGTGGCAGGCAGGTCACTGTGCCAAACAGCAAAACGTTTAACTACGGTGATGATCGAATCAGAAGTGTCTTCTGCTTTCTCTAACGAGCCTCCCCCACAGCGGCTGTCGAACGCCGACAGAGAGAAAAGCACCAGATAGATCATAAGCAAAGCAAACAAAACAGTAATAAAGAGAGACGTTACATTTAAGAGATGTTACATATGGTCTCATTGCTCATTGTGTTGCCATGGGCCTGCGCTTAGCCGAACAACCTTCTTCCATCTGTTTTCCTTCGACACTAGTTCTATTAATGTAAAATCTTTGTTAAAAAATAACTTAAATTAATTAATCTTAACTTAATAGGCTATAGGCTATTTCCTGACCAAAACTTGCTGAGAGCTGGACCATAGCGGCTATTTAGCCAATAAATTAGTCCTATTGGGTCAGGATAATATTCATTGTCTGATAATTATCAGACATGGATTATAATCCATGTTTTTGTCCCATTCATATTTTGTTATAATTTGTTAGTTAAACTGCTCATAGTTTAACCTTATAAAAAAAATACAAATACAAATTACATTTAGCCGCTCTTTGTCGTAGCTATTGCAGTCTATCGCTCTCTCTCTATCACCTAAATCTCAATAACTGTTATTTCTCTTTCGCTCTCGTAGCTTTCTGTGCAGTAACGTTCTCACTTGTAAGCTGTTGCTGCAACCACTCTCCTCTCTCGTCTTATTTTTACTGATTTCGCTTTAAGCATTGCTCTAAGCATTTTCTCTGGACATTGGTCTTTTTTTTCGAAAAGAAAATTAAAAATACTTATTTTTATGGATTTTGCTGTCGTTTGTGCCAAAAAGAAACTTGCAAGAAGCAGATCAGGGCTGATCGTCGGCTTTAAACAGCAATATAGTCGGCTCTTGGCCATGGACACTAAGTTCAGCAGCTTACAGCTGCTGGCTGAGTCTCCGAGACGCAAGAAGTCTACTCCGCGGGACTAGCAAAAAAAACATCCGAAAAACTTACTCCGACCACATCAGTTTGGTGGTGGGAGTCCCACCAAAGCGACAAGTTCTTGTCTCCCGGCTAGCCGGGACCTCACATCCAATGATTTAACCGCTTGTATACAAAGCAAAATAAAAGCCGTCGGCTTAAAGGTTGAAAAATTTAACTTTTCTTACGCCAGGGGCTAGGCGAAAATCCTCCAGCTGAACCCTCCCAGAGGGTGACGGCCGGTTAATGGGCACTGCATTATCCCGGATCGGGTAATGCATTGCCGCTTGCTCTGTCCGAGGTAATGCAGTGTCAAGCTCAGGCCAGGTCCAGGTCTTCCCGATATAAAATTGGGGTAACTGAACCATGGCCATGGCTGGAGGTGCCTGGCGGTCAGGCATAAAACGCTAGGAGGTGGTCCCCCCGATAAATATTAACCACATGGAGTGGAATAAGGATCGAACAGGGACTGGGATGTCAGTCCAAACGTCGGTGGAAAGCGTGACTGCTACCACCGGCGGGTACGGGGAGGAGCAATCCTCTCTGCGTGTCGCCAGCGGTCACAACTCTAATATGGCGGGAGCAGGTCATATTAGTTTCAAAGCTACTGCCACCAAAACGACTCTCTGCAAGCTGAGACGCACGGGTGCCGTGGTCGAAACAGACTCGGATCTGGAGAGCATGCTCAGCGTAAGCAGAACGGAAGAAGAGAGCCTTCTCCGCTCGCCTGAACCAGGTACCAGCTCCCTGCGTAGGGAAGGGCCGAAGCGTTCTAGGCTAAGGCCCAATACAAGGCGGCCCTCAAAATCCAAAGCCGGCTACAAGGCAAAGAGGACATCTCCCAAGAGGAGAAGTCCAAACTAGCCTGGGCTGAGCAAAAGGTAGAAGAGGGGCATCTTCACTATGCGCAGCTGCCTCAGATGAAGGCGACGAAGGGCGAATTCGCCAATAGGGTTGAGGAGATGATGGCCACCAAAAGGCAACGCTCGATCGAGAGTGCCAAGGACACTGCGGCGGGCAAGCGGCAACGCGGGCCCAATGTGGTTATCCCTCAACCTACGACAAAGAAGCCCAAGCAGAAGGCCAAGTTGAGTGACATGTTCACGAGACACCTCTTCGTGGCCTTGATTGACCGCAGCGAGGAAAATGGGAAAATTACGGCGGCGCAGTGGAAACAGGTCCACGCCCAGCTGGTGGAATCCCTTTTCGCGCGAATGGAGGACGCGCTGCACGCTCCCATGCCCACCTTCGACGGTGCGGGATGGCTGAACATTGTGAATATCCTCAAGAGCAACGATGACCCGACGAAGAAGTGGCAGGTGCAAGTAGTGCCCAAATTGGAAGCTCTGTGGGAGGGGCCAAGCTGGAGGTAGTGGACAGGGAGATGATCCCGTCCATCCCAAAGGCGAAGGTACTCTTCCCCATTGCAGTCCAGGGGGACCGAGCACTGAAATTCCTCCAGAGGCAGAACACGGATGTGCCAACGGCTGACTGGAGAATCCTGCAAGCTTGTTACCCCAATTCAAAATGAGGGGGGCCAGCACATGATCCTCCAGATCAACAAAAAAGCAGAAGAAATACTCTACCCGAGATTCGGGAAGATGGCATGGGGCGTTGGCAGTGTCTACCTACGTCTCAAAAAGCGCCACCCCGAAGACAAGGACGCGCATACCCTGCAGGCTGGCGAGGTGGAAAAGGACCTAGGTCTGGAATCCATCGTGGAGGCCGCCCAGGATCATGCACTGGACGACTCTGATGCCGCAGAGGACGAGGACGGTGACCTGACTATAATAGTCAACCCGTCGTGTGCAGTTTAGCCAGCCTCCCATGACACTGAGAGTGCTGTAGCTCAACTTGCATAAAAGCAAGATCGCGTCAGCGGAGCTCCTCATTGTCTTGGAGCAAGGGCCCGTCGACATAGCTTAGGTCCAGCTTTGGCTTTGGCTTGCCTCCGGCAATGCTGTGGCCGGACTAAAGTCCTCTAATTACAATCTTTTCCACCCACCATCGGTAAGCAGGACCAGAACCGCCGTACTCGTACGAAAGGGAATCCATGCTTATCTTATGTCTCATTACAGCACTGATGACCTGGCTGCGGTGATGCTTGAAAGCGAGGACAAGCGCCTTATGGTAGCATCCTGCTACATGGCACACGACAGGCCAGCTCCACCGGAGGAGCTAAGGAGTCTGGTGGCGGAAGCCAGTCCGAAAGACCAGCAACTCATAGTTGGTACGGACGCCAATGCCCACCATAGTGGGGAAGCCCCGATATCAACGAAAGAGGTGAGTCACACCTAGACTTTATACTATCCACAAATCTAGATGTAGCAAACGTGGGGGAGGAGCACACCTTCGTAGGCCCCACCTCGTCTAACTTAATAGATCTAACACTCGTAACGGGGGACAGTACTTTGGTATCTGGCTGGAGAGTCCTTGAAAGACCATCCTTCTCAGACCACAAGTACATTCAGTTTAAGTGCGAATTTAAACACTCTCCGAAGATAACTGTCTATAGAAACCCCCCGAACACAAACTGGGAAAAGTTTAAAAAGACAGTTACTTCGAAACTCGCGACTCGTCCGGGCACAGTGAAATCTCCGGAAGAAATAGAAACGTCCCTAGAGACCCTCTCCAAGGAGCTACTGGATGCGTAACACGCAGCATGCCCACCCTCGAGAACGAAAAAGAGAACCAGACCACTCTGGTGGAACCGGGACTTATCACTTCAAATAAATAAATTCAAAGAATTCTTCAAAATCGCCAAACTGGCGAGCGACGAGATAATCAATGAAGAATACAAAACCCTACTCAGGGAGTACAAGAAGGAAATACGCAAGGCACAAAGAAACTCGTGGAGGAACTTCTTCTCCAATATCGATAAAGTCCCAGAAACGGCCAGACTCCGGAAGTTGCTATCAAAGCAACCCGCCATACAGAGTCAGCCGAAAAGAAATGATGGACAGTGGACTGAGGGCAGCGAAGAAGCCCTAACAGCACTAATGGAAGCTCACTTCCCAGGATGCACCGAGGTCGCTGACGCTACAGAGCATCAGGACCTAGCAACTGAGGAACAGCACCCTCCCACAGATTTAATATCGTCTAAGAGAATCCACTGGGCTATAGACTCCTTTGCGGGTACAAAAGCACCTGGACGAGACGGTATATTTCCAGCCATGCTACAGGCGACCAAAGACGTGATCACCCCATGGCTCTCTGCATATACTCAGCTTGCCTGAGTACGCGCTATATCTCTATTCAATGGAGGACCTCGAGGATTGTCTTCCTCCAAAGGCAGGAAAGTGCAGCCAAATGAGCCCCAATGACTATAGACCGATAAGCCTAACCTCTTTTCTACTCAAAACACTAGAAAAGCTGCTGGATCTACACATCAGAAACGATGTAGGTGGGCGGATGTCAACCAACCAGCATGCCTATACCAAAGGGAAATCGGTAGAGACGGCACTGCATTCGCGAATAGCCACCATCGAAACTGCCCTCCAAAATAAGAAGTATGCTCTAGGAGTGTTCGTAGACATATCCAGAGCATTCAACAACGTGAATACGAGCGCGATAATGGACCGTCTAGAAGCGATCAACACACATCCCGCAATCAAATTCTGGATAAAGAACCTTCTATGTTGTAGACGGGTGTATTCAGAGTGGGGCACCGCTTCCATGGTGAAAGGGGCACACAGAGGCGGGGAGGAGGTGGGGTTCATCCAGAGGGACCTGGTGGTCGACGACTTAATAAAGAGATTCGAGAGGAGAACCTCAAAAATTACAGCTTATGAGTACAACATAAGCATAATTATTACGGGAGTATGCCCATCGAGCCTCAGCTCTATAATGGAATCAACACTCAGGGAGATATGTGAGAGGGCGGGAAAAGTAGGACTCAGCAGCAACGCAAACAAGACGGACCTCATCCTCTTCACCAAGTGGTACAAGGTGCCGGCATGGATCCCCCCGAAAATCGACAGAACTAGGCTTACCCCAAAAACACAAGTCAAATACCTCGGCATAGTACTGGACAGCAAGCTGACATGGAGACCCAATGTATTGGAAAGGGTGAAGAAAGACACCATTGCGCTATATGCATCCAAGAAGATGCTTAGCAGCACATGGGGCCTATCACCTGCAATAATGCACTGGGTCTACATATCGGTAGTGCGACCGACTCTGCTATATGGAGTCTTAATGTCGTGGCAGTCTACAGAAAAGAAAACCTACAACAAGCTAATGGATAGAACTCAGCGGCAGGCACTGCTCTGCATCACTGGGGCGCTGAGGTCAACCCCAATAAAAGCACTCGAAACAATACTCGGAATTGACCCCCTGGACAACGCCTAGTCGAATCAGGCAATATGTCACTTCAAGGATTCGGGCACAGTTCAATAGGCCGAGACATGATCAGTATATCTGACTACATGATCCCCCGAACTTGCCTGGACGTTAAAACAACGATACTCATGGGACCCGACGACTGGAAAGAAAGTTGGGATCAGAATGAACACCTAAACATATACACGGATGGCTCCAAGATGGAGGGAGGAGTAGGTGCGGGCATATACTGTACAGACCTTGAAATAAGGCTGTCCTATAAGCTACCGGACAAATGCAGCATATTCCAGGCAGAAGTCTTTGCTATACGGAAAGCGGTGGAGGTTTCTCGATGTACGGAACGCCCACATAATAATGCGGCAATAAGATCCATGCAGTCGTCAGCGGTCAGTTCCAAAAATGTCCTGGCAAGCAGGGAGGCATTCGATTTCCTAAGCACGACAAAGTCAGTGCGGATATATTCGGTTCACAGCCACCAGGGCTTCGAAGGCAGCGAGACAGCAGATGTGCTGGCTAAGGAAGGCGTCGGGATGGCGAACGAGAGGACTGAGAACGTGCCTGTCTTCCTCAGAACGCTTCAAAGCGATCTAGAGAGGCGAGCACACATACAGGCCAGTAGCAGGTGGAAGAGAACCACCAACTGCAAGATCGCGAAAACCATGTGCACTACCTACTGCACCTACCACGGAAGGACTGTAGGATGCAAATGGGAATACTCACAGGTCATTGGCTGGCTGCAGCACATGCAGTCAAACTAGGCATCACCAACAGTGGCAAGTGCAGGATAGGTGATGAATCTGGGGCTATCGAAACCCTGGAACATCTAATCTGCCAGTGCCCGGCCCTCTCAAGGGCAAGAAACAAATATCTTGGTACTGGCATCGGTACTGGCATCGCTGAAAGATGCATCCAAGAGGACGCCAGCGGAACTCCTTGCCTTTGCAAAGCTCTCCTCGATCCTCACATTCAGAAGGTCCATACGCACCAATCCGGACAAGTAAGGGCCATATTGGCATATGCGTGGCCCGTGAGGGCCGTCCGGGACAACCTACGCAAGGGAGATATCTTCCTTCAAGATACGCGTCTCCCCGACTCGATTTGAAACCATTTGTTCCGCCAAGTTTTGGCCGGAGTATTTGGTGATTAAAGAGTTTAAGGCTAAGAAAAAGAATAGGCCCCCCATAACTCTTCCTAGTAGTCAGACTAGTGCTCCATCTTTATCCGCATCTTCCACCTCAACTTCTACTTCTCAACTTCTCGTCCAATGTTATTGTGTTTACCAAGACCTGGTTAAAGCCGGACATCCTTAGTTCCGAAGTTTTGGCAGGTCGGTAAACAATTTTTAGAAGTGACCATTAGTCTCGACTTGGAGGTGGGGTCCTGATTGCAGTGGACTCAAACTTCACGTCGGAACATTTCATGGTCCAGGTTCAACAAGACCTGGAATTCCTGTGCGTTAAACTGATTCTTCCAGCCTTTTCCATTTTCATTACTTGCTCGTATATTCCACCTTCCTCGAATATCCTAATATACGAGCATCACCTGTCCGCTTTAAAAACTGTTTCTTCCTCGCTATTATATAAAGACCATACGATAGTTCTTGGTGATTTCAATTTGCCAGGTACTGTTTGGTCTTCGGTAAACGTTTCTAATAATCTTGTGCTCATGTCACGACATGACTTTATCGACGCCTTGCTAGACCTTTCCCTGTCTCAAGTCAACCATGTGAAAAATTCCTTGGGTCGATTGCTTGAACTGTGCTTTGTCTCGGATCCGACCATAGCGTTCTTAACCCGAGACTTTCCGCTAACTATACCTGAAGACTCCTACCATCTACTGTATTGGATCGAACTAGTAGGCTATCTGAACGTGTCCGTTGCTTTCGTAAAGCCGAGTTTACGAAGCTTAATAACCTCATGAGTGATTTTGATTGGTCCGCTCTGTACTTGTGCACTGACGTTATGAAAGGCACAAACATTTTTTACAATGTACTTGACACATTTTTTGATTCTTGTGTCCCACTTTCTTGTCT